AAAGGGTTTCCCACTTCACTTTTTGGGGTTATATTCAAGTGCATATGAAATAAAATATTACTGATACAGACATTGCTAATTGGAGGGCCTACAAGAGCAGAATATGGAACAAGGATGAACGGGAAACATCAACCTTATTGCACCTAACACCGACTATAAGTCATAAGTCATAGTGGAACGTTAAGTAGTTTATAATTGCCAAGTTCAATTAATAGTATCAATACATTTGTAGCCAGATCAATGATGAAAAATATGATTATTCACAACTTCATATTATGATGTTACGTGTCCTAAAAGCTTGCATCTGCAAGAACCGGCCAGGATAAAAGAATGAATGGATCGTAAGAATTAGCAAAAGGTTCAGGTATAAAATAACTGAACAGAGAAAAGACGAGAGAGAAGTAGCATGATGATTTTGAAACTCCACACAATGAACAGCCTGAAAAACTTGATGTGGATGGGCCATCTTTATGGCATAGATCGGCATGCATATCTATAGATTTAAAAACGAAATCAGATTCAAAGCATACCACCACGTAGTCCTCCATAAATGAAAATCAAGTCACCAACTGCAGCTGCAGCATGCCTACAACGCCGTGTTAGTTCAACAGATGCATCACCACCAGCTGCATCAGCACTGTATCTCCCTGTCCTGGGACTAGTGACCACTGATTTTGTATCACACCAAACTCCAGCAGCAGTATCCAATACTGCACAAGAATACAAATAATTATAACATCTATCTGAATATCCGATTATGTTAACCAGAAAAGAGAGCATAAGATTCTGTTATCCGATATTTATTTCATGTTTCACATTTTGAGTTCTGATCAGCCACTGGCAAAATGAAACAACTCACACAGAATTATTGATGTATATTGTAACGATTTCAAAAAGCATATCTCGATGACTGCATGTCAGATAAGCATGTAACATCATTGAAAATGAGAAAAGAAAAGCTCAAGCGACCAAAAGTTACAAATCACAAGAAGCCCAGAGTCCTAAATCGCAGTGGACAACAAGCTAATTCTTTGAAATTATCAAATCAATCACAGCCCTGCCTGTTATAATAGCAGCTATTGTTTCACCTATAGGGTCAGCCTCTGCCTCTTCAGAACTAGTGTGACCATCCTTACCCATTTTTATTATCATTTCACTAACTAAATCCTTTCCGAAACTTAATGCTCCTCAAGTACACACAGATTTATCTTTCTAGTAAAAGATCTCAAGAACTTTTTCTTTAATTTTGTATGTAGTAGTACGGTAAGGTCCAAAATCTAATTCCAATATTTATATATATCAAGTTTGTAAAGCATGTGTCTCTTAACATCAAGATATGACACGTACTGTTAGATATTTACAAATTTGAAGTGTGTCAAAAATAAAATCTTTAATTTTATACACAGTAATACGCTTAAGGTCCGAAATCTAATTCCAGTATTTATATATATCAAGTTTAAAAATCGTGCCTCTTAACATCAAGATATGACACTAATTGACCAATTCCTTTTTCTTCCCATTCAGCACCTTTAAGGACCATTCTCAATTAAATTAACAATGAATTTTTTTTTCCATATAAAAAGAAAGGAATGCTACTTGAAAGTGCAATTTCAGATAGAAATGAGGTTCAGATATTTGACGCATCATATTAAGGAATATTTAGGTTTGAAAAGAACTAAACCATAAAAGATTCCCTCTGGCTACCCACTATCGAATCAGAAGATAAATGATCAATATCTAGGTGAAGTTGCAGTTCATGTTTACCCTATATCAGGTAGCCAAGATCAATGTCCTCATCCTGATACTCTAATGATGGGATGATAATCCTGAGATAACACACAGACAATTTTCCCTCTAGAACGCTTATGATACATGATGAGAACCACAATAAAACAATATAGACTAGAACAGAACAGCAAGAACTTTGATGTGCCCTTTCACATTGTCTGGTCTACAACATGCATCAAAAAAGAAGAACCGGAACATAAATGCAACCTGCAATGCTTGATGAATCTTCTACCATGCGCCCACCACCAAGAGCCCCTCCAGATACATGAAGTCGTGCATTTACAAAAACCTGCAGCCATTGTAATAAGTAGTGATAGGAAATCGTGCACTCAAGTAAGAAGGAAAGAAAGAAAGAAAGAAAGATCTTTAGAGTTTGTCTCACAGCAGCATGTTGGTATCTAGGAGATGGAGAGACGCCAGGAGCAATTGCCCATTCCCAACGCCCATCCCTGTGTTTAGCAAGACCGTAGGCACTTGCCAGCGGCTACATGCAAAAAAGCAGAAAAAATAACGCGTGAATCATTAACCTGAATATGAAACCATAGGAGATAGTATCTCGGCGATTTATAATAAAGGTGAAACATGGACTACATACAGCATTTTAATTATTAAACCAGATGAAAAATCATAGACATCTAGTAAGTTGATAAGAAGCAAGGAGCTCACAATCATACACAAAGACATGCAAGTACACTGTTAGATTGTTACAACAGTAGCAGCCCAAAACTTTCAGGCATTCACACCGGAATTGATATGCATACAAACATAGGGGTGCTAAGATGGCACAAACATTAAATTATAAGCTTAGAAAATTCCTACAGTGAAAATAGACAAGCAGTTATTCCACCTGGAGGCTAAAAATTTTAGTCAAACCAAGAACATTAGCACCAATATTCTACAAAATTATGTACAGCAAAAGACGCTAAAATATACCAAAGATCATTTGATAGAATATCTTGTTCCAAAATCTCCTCCATATTCCATGCCCAACTTTGACAAGATTTTTGTACGCATTCCACATTCAGAGGACTAGATAACAATATCAACCCTTTGCCTATCTGAGTTACTCTCTTTCAAATTTCCTACACCCCAGCCCTTTACTTGAAAGCAAAAAATGCTTGAACTTGGTGCTATCATCAGGATTTGTTTATTACAAGCTTTTCATGGAATAATGCTTACAAAATGTTAATTGGCAGAAATCAATGTTGCAACTGAAACGGTAAGGTTTGACTGATTCTGAGGAATTTAGAAGATAAGGTGATGATGTAAATTAATAGAAGATGGATGAGGCTTGCGATCAAGCTTCAATGCCTGGAGAGATTCCCAAGATTTCTGTTTTACAAACAAATACAGAGGGGAAAAGGAAAAAGTAGAAGACAAATAAAATAAGAAAGTATATGTCATTCGTCAATATTATCATTTCTGCTGGTGCAGCCCATAACAAAAGCAACATAAAAGGGAAGGTTAAACAGGATAGCCAAAAAGCAGGGAGAAAGTAGCCGCCAAAACTGATTTGTTTTACTGGAGTATGGAACATCATGTGAAAGAAAGTATGGGTGAGGCATTTATAGTCAGTGTAACAGTGTTATACGGATACATGACAGGGTGACAAATGATCACTCTATACATAGGCAGGACAACGTGTCTGAGGGTAACCCGTTTGCAGTGATGACACCATACCATCCAAAAAATATGGGAAACCTTTCCCACATGATAGAGCACTATGTTTATAATATCAAGACATTTTTACCAAAAGTTAACTAGCACTCAACACTATGGGAAACTCACATGAAACAAGTTTGCTTAATTATTATTTATGACAAATTTAAGAAGAAACGTACAACAGAAGGTTAATTTATATTGATAGGATAAGAAGTTTTGAAGAACCATAGAACAACTTTGAGAAGTTGTTTACATATAAGTTAACATAGATGTTATGAAAACAACTACTGAAATAAACATATACATTTATCAGAATTACAGAGTAAAGTTTGAAAAACTTTGTCTCTGTTCTTTCCCAGATTTTTTAACTGTTTCCATTTGTAATACTTCATTTTGAATCTTCTAAAGAAATTGCCGAATTACAATTAAGATTTTGTTTTAATTTCAACTTCGATGATATGGAATTGAGGATATAATGTTCCACATGGGAAATTAGAACAAACTTTTGGAAATTCACATAGAAGACTCAACACTAAGTAGCATTACAATAGTCATCTCTGCCAGCATATAGTTAAACATTATAGACGACTCAATATTACCAAAATTATTTGAAGGAGGTTACTATTATACTATCTATATATAAAAGCTATTTTACCTGGGTACATCTAATATGGAGCCGTACCCAACACGTGTCATACCCCTATCCGTACCCAACACTTCTTGGACACTCCTTAAATATATATACATATATTTATTCATACTTGTACCGAATTATACAATACATGTTTAATTTAAAACTCGTCATACACTTCTTAGATATATACCCTACACTTCAAAACCGGTTTTTGAAACTTACTGAATAAGAGATGAGTTTGTTTCACCCTTAAGAGCTACAATTTAAAAGGGTCGTTCAAATATATAGCTCAGAACTATGATCATATCCCATGAGTTTCAGTTGTGCTCCCGTGCCCTACCTTTTACAAATTTATCATGTCCCGTACCCAAATATGTGCCCCGCACCCATAGCCATGCAACTTAGTATAAAAGTAAGCATTATAGCTGAAGTATTGATACACATCTGATACATCAAGAAATTATATAAGGCTATAGACTATAGAGCAAAGAAGATTCTGCTGCACAAGTATTAGCAATGTACTATGGATATCATGCAAACATGACCAACGGTCTGCCGTGATATACAAAGGTTGCATGGCAGTCAGTCCAGTCATTACAAAAGATGTCATATCTATTTGCTTCTGTGAAAACAGTACGTATAACAGTTTAAGAGGCTGTCTGGTTGGATGGAAATAGAGTTGCTAGAGTACATAGAGCAACCAGATTTGTAAATACATTGTTTGCTTTGGAACGTTGTAATTACGAAAGATAAATAGACTTGCATTTTGTAGGAAAAAACTTGCAACAGATGTTGCAGCCAATTTGGTGGGAAGAAAAGCTACAAGATTCAAAAAAGGAAACTAAAAAATAAATATAAATTTCACCTCATCAAAAAGACCTATTTAAATCCAAATAGAAAACCACTACACAAAAATTATGTAGCTTTTGCACTAATTATTTTCAACCAAACACTGAATTTGCATTCGAAATACATTTCCTAGAATATAACTACAAATATCCAAACAAGGAATTAGAAGTTGATTTGCTGCAACATTATGCAACACTTGCTGCAATTTATTTTTGCAGCAGACCAAACAGCCCCTAAGATTATCAGTGGTCAGAGCAATTTTTGACATACCACACTGTTTGCATCCCTTCCTCCACAAAGCAAAAGCAGACCATCAGAACGTGCGCTTGCTGTAGCATACCTATTCAATAACAAAATAAAGGAAGTGAATTAATGGCTCCATGATTTTTACGAACTGCAGGCAAAGGCAAAAAGGAAAAGGAAACAAAGAAAGGAATGAAACCTCAAAGTAGCGCCATGTTTAATTAAGTTATCCCCGTGTTATTAGAGGCACACTTTGGTAGTACAATAAGAGGATGATACATAGGCAAAGAAGGTAAGCATGGTGGGAAACCTTTTTGGTCAGGATATCATGTATTATGCATGTGTATGTATGAAGACAACTAAAAAGATTGATAATACTAGTAGTTTCAGGTTCATAATATCTGTAAAGTCGAAGTTTGATGCTCTTTTAAGAAAGAAGACGCTCTTTTCAAGTAAAAAGAGTATGCAGAATCTAATTAAGTTGAATAGTAAGTGTCCACCAGTCCACAGTTTGAAGCATAAATCCTCAAGTCTTAAAGCCATGAAGAAGGAATATTAACTACTAAACCTAATTGAATCTCAAATAGAATGGACTAGCCTCTTACTCTTCACCCTTTACTTATTGACCAGTTTTTGCAATCCAATTCAGATTGCACCATGAACGGGATAACACAGTCCAATTCAGATTCACATTGGGATAGTATGAATTAGGTAACACTTAACAAAAAATGTCATTGCAGAAAATGCTCAAAAAAGAATGTGAAATTAACAAAAATAATAAATTTGTCAGGAAATCATTGGATGTTGGAATACATCACACAGTAAGATTTTCAGGAAAGCATTACATGTCACAGCAAATTTACTCATTTTGCTCCCCTCTTTAAACATTAAGCATCAAGTAAATATAGAGGCAATATTGAGTTTATCTAAATGCTGCTGTAGAAAATGTTCAAGAAGCATGTGAAATACCAAATCTTATAAAATTGTCAAGAAATCCTCGGATGCTGGAATGAAGTACATCACATAATAAGATTCCTAGGAAAACATTAAATGTGAAAGCAAAATTTACTCATTCTTTCTTTTTTCTTCCCTTTACCCAAAGGTCACTACAGGAAATGCTCAAGAAAGCATGGAAGTTACCAAATAGGATATGGCTGATATAACATAGCCTAAGAAAACATTAATACTGGTATAAGGTTTACCTGATAATTTATATTTAATTTAGGCAGGTGAACAGGCTATCAATTAAATAGCTGCGGAACAATCAAAATTGTCTCATGCCAAACATACGACGAGAATGCATGTAGTGATATAACGAAGTGATAATTTTTCAAGGATGTGCTGCAAATAGACTGCAGTTCTAGGAATTTAATGACATGACACTCCAAATAACTAGAAGAGCCACACAAAAAAAAAACAAAGTTTGATGAATTGCCAGTTTAAACACCACCCATCAAATACATTCATGAACTTCAAGAGTTTGTTGAACACAAAAAGAAGGAAGTAGGGGAGGAAGTAGGGGGAAGTCACATTAGTCCATAGATTAGCACATATCTTACACCTACATGATAATTACACCTACATTAAAAGTGATGTTATTGATCAAAACAATCCTCTTGCCCTTTTTTCTCTTTTTTTAGTGTCTTGTTAGTCATGCACTGGGTACGCAACAATCAAGTAAGAAGCTTAAAAAAAAAGAAACAAGAAGCAAAGGTAATATTTTCTGTTGTTGAAAGGTCTGCTAAAAATTTTTAAAAATAAAGTATAATATTGCGGTTATTGAAAATCCTATATAGAAAAATGGAAGGGAAGGAAAAAATTTTCAATAATGGAGTGTGAGATAGAAGACTGACAAAGAAACAACAATATCTCTAAAAGAGTTTTTTCACTTTAATACTCCAAAATTTTCACCCAGTTTTAACTTTAATACTCCAAAGTTTCACACGTTAAACTTATCGGAAGTTCTGTTGGCCGGTCATTAACAAGATGCGATGTAAAGGTCAATGTTATATTAAATGTTGGCCGCTTCTAGGCGTAGGACTTGGTGCCCAGCACTTAGTCGCCTAGGCGGACGCCTAAGCGGTTTCTGGGCATTTTTTTCTTTTTTATTTTTTTAATTGTGATACTTAAAGATAAATATGTATGTATATATATATACTCAAATTACTGTTAACTTATAAGTTACTGTTAAGTTTAAGTTAACAATAAACTTACACTTAAGTTTACTATTAACTAAAATATTGTTAACTTAAGTTTACTATAAACTTAAACTTAAGTTTACTATAAACTTAAACTTAAGTTTACCATCAACAAAAAACTTAATATTAACTTAAACTTAAGTTTACTGTTAGCTTAAACTTAAGTTTAACTTAAACTTAAGTTTACTGTTAACTTACACTTCTTAAGTTTAAGTTACAGTTGTTAACTATCTTAAATAGATATTTAAGAAGTATTTTTTACCTTGGTAGTAGTTACAGAGATCGGGGGAGCTCGGTAATGTTACAAAAAACGCTAGGCAGATTAGGCGTTTGAGTGAGCGCCTAGCGCCTAGACCCATGGGCATACGCCCAGGCGTTTGACTATTATTAAATTATTTAATTATAATAATTGATAAAAATATGTATTAAATTCATATAAATTTTCAAAAAAAAATAGCAATCTTAATTCCACAATAAATCATACATATTTAGATACTAAATAGCCAAAATAATAATTATTATGCTAGAGCCTAAGATGTTTTCTTTTTTATTTTTAATTACAATAATTGATAGTGAATGTCAATGTTATAGAAAACTTAGATGTCGGAATAGTGTCTAGACGGATTTCTTTCTTCATTTAAGTAGTGATCGATGAGGTTTTGCTGAAGGTGTACTGTAGTGGAGATGTTCATATTTGGAGGTTAATGAAGTTTGGAGGACGTGTAGGCTACAACACATAAAATCATAACCAAGGCCTACAGGGTGCAATCATTGTTTTAAATATCGGCTGATAATCGATATTATCGGCAGAGTTATCGGATTTTTGAGCTCTCCGCTAGGATAAGTTGGTTTTGTAATCTGTTATCGTTTTGGAGAGATTATCGGCGAGTTATCGGCATTATCGACACTTATCGGCCGATAAGTAAGGCTAAATTATCAGGATTATCGGGATTATCGGGATTATCGGTCAGGCATTTTGAGTTGAGTTGTTGAGTTTTTAAAACCCGACCCATTTTGTTAATAATATGAAACTTAAAACCCGAAACTTTGTGAATCCGACCTTCAAACCCTAACCTCGTCTCTGGCGAACTGCTCATTTTCTCGTTGGGCGCTTCCTCCGTTATCTCCATCTCATGTTCTCTGCGCCTCTTCGTCACTCGCCTTCATGAACTTCAACCTTGAATTTCGTCGCTCGCCTACCCTCTGTCAGTCATGTTTTTTTTGTCCGGAAACATGGCTATATACACATGCTGTGAGCTTTCCTTCTCTTGTAATTCCTTCACGCACGTACTTTCTCTTTTGAGTAATATCAGTTCTATAACTATTCTTTTATCATACTTTGCTTTTCTGTTTTTCTGTAACAAAGACTTATATAAGAAATTAGTGAATAAACTGTACATACTTTGCTTTTCTGTTTTGGTATGTTTATATTTCATTAAGCATGGTTAGATTATAGTTTTTAGTTGTTATATTATATATATACACCATCCAATATATTGCTCCGATAAATACTACTTATCCCCGAATATCCCCGATTTTCGCTATCCGATAAGGATTTTGACCGTCTGATAAATCCCAGATAGCCGATATTTAAAACCTTAGGTGCAATCCACGTAAGCAGACAATACTCCCCTAAACTATCGTAAAATCTAGATGGGCAGCCTAAATACCGCCTAGGCTCTAGGCACTAGTTAGACGGTCTAGGTATCGTCTAGGCCTAGGCATACGCCTAAGCGGACTAGGAGGAGGTTTTTTAAAACAGTGGTAAGGGTTACGGACACGATAGTAAAAGGTTCAAATATTATTTTCCATTACTTTCAAGAAATAAAGGAAGCTCTTACAATCCAAGATATCACCTGATCCAATGCAAATCCCTAGGACTTTCTGATCTTGACAGCATTGATGGAATTAATTTCACTTGTAGGTATTAGATAGGAACCATTGATGAACCATTATAAATATGACAGGATTATGGAAGTTTTCGGATGTTACGCTTGATGGTACATCCTGAGGGATACTTTGTTGTCTGTTGATAGGTCAGATTTGACTTATTAAGCTAGCATCATCAATTTATTATCTCCTAATATGATGTCATACAAAGGTAAAGAACTGGCCAATTACAGATTTGGCAGATGAGTGAACCCAAAAGAAGAGTTAATTTGTCTTATACCAAGTTGAGAGTGATAACCTAGCATGTCTAAGTGCCAAGTGACAAGAAGTCCTGGATGGTAACTTTAAAACAGGTTAGGAATCATTATTACTTAAAGTGTAGGTAAAGTGTCTAGAGATTAAGTATATTACATTATCCTCATTCCTTCCACTCTTCCAAGCAAGTTACCTTTCCATTGAGACTCTCATGTGGTCCACGCAAGGAGGAACTCCCACGTGGTTCATTTGAGGTTAAACGATAATGATTTGACATGCAACCTGACAGGTTTAGCTTTTTATTTTGCTTGTTAACAGATGCTTAGCTTAGACTCATTAATGAGATAATTTCGTAAGATGCTCAAATTTAATAATCATATATGCGTATAATGCCATTATTCTTCCAAGCTGCCAAACTCACACTAAAAATAATGTCTCCATAAAAGGGCAAGTGACAACATAATTATCAATATAAGGGCAAGTGAGACAACATAATTATCAATATAAGGGCAAGTGAGCTAAAGAATAAATATCATGGTACCTCCATAAAAGACTACATGACAAAGACAAAGATTATACAACTAAATGGCACTGTATAAAACTCGTGTTTATGGGCAGGGAAAGAAATTCAACAAAGATTACTCACATGCATGGAGGAGGACCTTCACCTTCAGGTTCCAACTTCCTCCACTCGTATGGTTTGTCAGCAGTATCTAGAGCCCAGACATCAGCTAAAGGCCTCTTTCCTGAAAGAAAACTCAACCTTACATTCCTATAACATAGTGAGTGAGCTAAAATGCAACTAGTGATTGCTTTAGTTTAGATGTTGTTATATGCATTCATTCATCATCTATGTACCATCGTTTCCACCAATCGTTAATAGAAACCTCTGGCCCACCAAAGCCATCACATGACCATACCGGGGTCCAGGACCAGGTCCTTGAACAACTACCCTTCAATCACGAATACGATAACTTCGAGTCAGTAGCGTGAAACTTTAACATGCTTAAACTCACAGGAATTACTAGGATGTAGTCCAAACCTGTGCCAACGTGGTCTCTGTTGTGTCAAGTCCAGAACATGCAAATCCTCTGCAGACAAACCAGCTGGACCGATTCCACCCTAAATTTCATCAATTTGACGATAACTAATTACAAAAAGCCCCCATATTTCGAATCTAAGTGTTTCCATAATAAATAACCATGATACACAAGACAATTAATAACTTCCTATGTACCTGAATTACAACCATTGTTCCCACAGCTGTTGCCACATGAGCAGCTCTCGGAGATGGAGGCTCTCCAAGAGGAGTGAGCCTGAAATCATCACACGATAACAAAATCAGTAATTACTACTTACACATTCCCTCCAATACATTAACCTAATTCCTTAAAGAGAACACACTTCTTCCAAAAACCTTACCTTGACCACTTATTTGTTAGCACATCATAACAATGAACATCAGCTGTAGCTCCTGCTAAACCTGCAAAATCCAATAAAAACATTAACAATTCAACAAAGTTTTCAACTTTTATCAATTCAGAGATCTAGGGTTTAATCTTCATATCAGAATCTAGAGTTTGAACTTACGGATTCCAGCGCTCCCCGCTGATGAAGGCGGTGCTGCGTTATTCCCTTCAAGCGCAGTTGCTCCGCCAAACAAAATAAGCCGAGGGCCAACATAAGCAGCGGTCCCCTCCTCCCCGACGGCAGCAACGGTCGTTAACGTGTGCCCGCACCTCGACCCAGGCGTCCTCCTTTCTTTCTCGATAACCGCGTTCACCACCCAGTAACTCGGCGCAGCCCTCGGCCCGGCGACGGCGGCCGACTGCGCCTGTGGAGCATCAGACACCAGCGACGACGTCGACGGTGAGGATTCCATGGCGGGATCGTGGTTGTTGGCGACGGCGACCTGATCGTGATCGGATTCGGTCGACATCGATGAGTCCACGTCCATGGATTCGAGATCGGAGAATTTCTGGATTTTCTTCAAGATTCGAGAGCATTCTCAGTCCGGTGCTCCGCGGTCGCCATAACGAAACCCTAACCGTCTCTCCGACCCGATGCTGACATGTCGGATCGGCGATTCGATCGGTTCGAATTTCAATTCCCCCTCCGCTCGATACGAATAGAATTGAGACTGAAATTAATGGAAAAAATTTTGGATTTAAATTAGGAAATTAAGAAGATAATCCTCGTTTTTTTACGAAAAATCTCTTTCGCTTTTATAGCTTCA